GGGCCACACGAGGGGTGGGTGTCGCGCCCTGGCCTGTCACCCGGGCCCGAGCTGTGGACGCGGCCCCGCATGCAACAGCCACGCGGCGGCTCGCGCCGCGCGAAGCTGCGAGGAAAGCGACCTGTCAAGCACCACGCGCCTGCGATGGAAACACACCACAATCATTCACAATTCCCGTGCGGTGTCACACACACACACACACACACACACGTGCGCGCAAACACACACATACACGTGCGCGCAAACATACGCTCTGCCTCACGCACACGCAGCCGCAGCACCGCTGCACCGCCGTCCCCCCACCTGCGGCGCGAAGGCCTTGTCCTCCGGCGCCACGTACTCGTCGGGCACGCGCGCGTAGCGCTCAAAGTCGTCAAACAGCGTCACGTTGAAGCGGTGGTTCTTGTCCAGCTGGTAGCCCGCGGTCTGGGCGCGCGCCGCCTGCGCCTCCTGCGGGGGGACAAGGGGGTGGAAGGCGGCGCCGGATGGCAGGGAGGGTGGGGGTGCGTGAGGAGCGGTAAGCGGATGCGCCGGCCAGTGCCCAGACCTCTGCGTGCAAGTGCCTGCCCTACTGAGGGCCGGGCTCGTCCCCGCCCCTCAAACCACTGCGCACAAGCGGTGCAGGTGCCCTGCCTGGCTCGCTGCCCCAACCGGGGCCCCCTCGCTCCACCTCGCTGCCACTGCCTCCGCCGCTGACGTCTCCGATGCTGACGTGCGCCGCCCCCGCCACCAGCGCCCCGCCTGCCCAACCCTGGCCTGTCCTCGCCCGTCCCCTCTCGGCGAATCCCCGCCTGCCCCACTCGGGGCCAGCTGCCCCTCGTCGGCCCCTGCTGATTCTGCCCCCCAGGCGCACCATGGGGTGGCTGAACTCGATAAAGGCGTAGCCCTTGGACACCTTGTTGGCATCCTTGGGCATGTACACACCGCCTGGGGTGGTTGGGGGCGAGGCGCTCGGGGCGGTCGGCCGCGCCGGCCTGCAGGCGTCCCAACACAGCCACGCTCACGTGCGGCTTGCGACGCAGCCACCTGCTGCCACGCGGCAGCTGCGGCCCGATGTCCAACACCCTGCGTCGCGTATCGCACGGCCACCTGCTCTCTGGCTGCACCCCCACAGGTGCAGCCGGCCTCCGGCCGCGCCGCCGATGTGCAGGCCCGCGCCGCCCATGCCGCTGCCGTCTCCGACACCCCTCTCCGCCGCCCCCGCGCACCGTCGCGGATGTTGCCGATCTGCCCATAGATCTTCTTCAGCACGTTGACCAGCTTCTCGTACTTCTCCTCCGGCACTGACGGCAGGTTGTCCACCACGATCACGCTGCCAAACCCGCTGGCCGTCTCCAGCTCCTCCTCCTCGCTCTCGTCCTCGTCGCTGCGGATGTCCATGTCGTCGCCATCGGGCAGGATGAGCTCCTCCACGTCAAAGCCTTCGAACGGGAACCCGGCGGGCTGGTCCCTGTTTGGGGGTGCAGCGGCGGGGCGGAAGCGCGTAGCGCAGGCCGCGGCGCGTGGCAGCAGAGGCAGACAGCAGCGCCGCCGGCGCTGCCACCGCTGCGCCGGCCAACCTGGTCGACGCTGCATCCGACCCATCAAAGAGCCACTTCTGACTTGGAGTTCCAGAAGCGAACAGTACAGCGTGCAGCCTGCTCAATGCAGCAGATCACCCGCTCGAATCCAGCCACACGTCCCCCTCCCGCGCATCATGCACTTCAAAGCTGTGCAGATGGATCCGCAGCTCGCTGCAGGAGTGGCTCGCACCTGAACAGCTGAGCCGCCAACTTTAGGGGGTCGATTGCATCGACTGTGGTTGCCATGCTGGCGCGTGCTCCGCCCCTTGGGGCGATTCCTAGTGTTGAGCTGTCTCTACTCACGCGCTCCTAACACCAGTGCGCGGTGGTGCGATCCAAACTTGAGTGCTGTGCGGGGCACTCTCGTGTACGGTAGATCTCAAAAAGTTGGATGTCCTGTTAGTGTATCATTCCAACGTTCGGTAGTACCGTGCGTATGGTGACGTGCGCCACCCACCTACAGTACAATCGACCTGCTGTGTCGCAACAATTCTAACAAGCAGTACCACACACTGCGGGGCAAGTCGTCGCGCTGTTGAAAGCACTGCAATTCTCAGCATGGCGTAGGCTAAGGCAGTACCCAAGCGGCGCGGTGCAGCGCGCCATGGAGCCCAGCCGCTGCGGGAGCGCTGCGCCGCTTGGCACCGACTTCATCGCAACGCTCTCCGCCCAGCTGCAGGCCGCCCTTGACAAGTGAGGGCAGCATTGGCATGACATCTGCATGCGGATGTGGGGCGGACGCGGGCAGCGTCCGCGGGCAGCGTCCGCGGGCAGCAGCTCGTTGCGGGGCGTTGTGGGCGAGTGCGGTGCGGCTGACGCTCATGTGGTTGACCTGGCCGGCGCTGTGGTGTGCCTGTCGCGCATGCTCGCACAGGGCAGCTGCCCTGAAGCGGCAGGAGGAGGACCTGGCGGTGAGGGAGGCCGCCCTGCGCGATGCC